GGCATTTCCTTGCCTTTAAATTGTCATTGCGTAAAAAGGTGTCTCGGTTTGTGTTTTAGCGCAGCCACTACTTTTATCATTTGGGTATAAGTTTGGTGTTGACATATGGTAAAATGCTTTCTCCTGATAAAAGTTATGTTTCAGCATGCTTACCGAATGATATGTATATAATAACTGCCACTGTTATACTGGTAATGGGTCATTATAATTTTGTTGATATGAACATATACTGACTTTTATATTTAGATGACTTGAAATATTGAAGAAGGCATGTCCTTTTTTTAATTTGTCATCGCGTAAAAAAGTATCTCGGTTTGTGTTTTAGTGCGGCCACTACTTTTATCATTTGGGTATAAGTTTGGTGTTGACATATGGTAAAATGCTTTCTCCTGATAAAAGTGATATGTTTCAGCATGGGTACAAAATGATATGTATATAATAACTGCCACTGTTATACTGGTAATGGGTCATTATAATTTTGTTGATATGAACATATACTGACTGTTTTATATTTAGATGACTTGAAATATTGAAGAAGGCATGTCCTTTTTACTTCCTTGTACGAAGTAAAAAGGAAGTATTGTAATCGCGAAAAGTTTCAGGCAGCATATTTGACCGAAAATATCCATTTTGACCGCTATCGAATGCAATTTAACGATGTTTTTGCACCATATCTGTACGTAAGGACAGAATAAAATACTCTTTTCCTTCAAAAAAAATTATAAAACTGCTTAAACTTAAAAAAACTTAATCTAAAATTAATTCTGAAGAGAATTTTTCGTGGCTTCTGTGCGAACGTATGTACGTACGTTCGTGCGTACGTACATATCTCACATAACTCAAAAACGAGTAGCCTCAGAACGTTGAAATTTTGTATATAGGACTGCTATAACATGTATATGTGCACCTCGTATTTTGGTTGCAATCGGCCACACCAAACGTATATAAATATATTTATATATATATCCACTCTATGACTTGAAATATTGAAGAAGGAATTTCCTTGCCTTTAATTTGTCATCGCATAAAAATGTGTGTGGGTTATGTTTTAAGTGGCCACTACTCTTATCATTTTGATATAATTTTTGTGTTAACATATGGTAAAATGTTTTATCGAGGTAACAGTTATATGTTTCCAGCATGATTAGAAAATTGTATGTTTATAATAGCTGCTGCTATTATACTGGGAATGGGTCATTATAATTTTGTTCATATGGACATGCACTGACTGTTTTATATTCAGAGCACTTGAAAGATGATAATATTGAAAAATTCATTTTCGTGCTGTTGAGTGTTTGCTGCATAAAATGGTATCTGGGTTGTATTTAAATGGCTACCACTTAATGTTTAGTAAGTGGTTATCATTTGGTGTTAACATACTGTAAAATGCTTTCTCATGATAAAAGTTGTGTTTCAGCATGCTTACAAGATGACAAGTTTATGGTAACTGCTGCTTTTATACTGAGAATGGGTCATTATAATTTATATTTTTTATATGGGCATGCATGTACTGACTGTTTTACACTTAAAAATATTGAAAAATTCATTTCCTTGTCTTTAATTTGTTGTTGTGTAAAAAAGGGTCTATGTTGTGTCTTTAAGTGGCCATTACTTATATCATTTGAGTATAATTTTCATGTTACCATATGATAAATTACTTTATCAAGATAACAGTTATGTGTTTCAGCATGGCGACAAAATAACAGGTTTGTAATAACTCCTACTATTATTCTGGGAATTGGCTGAATAAAGGGTGTCTCTGATTAGGAGCACTCATTTCACAAACCTGTGATTTTCATGTGCATTTTGAAATTACCGGTGTCCCATAATTAAGACTGGTGGCTTTCTGGACAAATCATTTTGATATATTCTTTGCTTAAATTAAACAAGCCTGATAGCGAGTAACTTAGAAGATCACGATTTTAGCTTGGAAAAATTACAACAAAATTGTGTTGCATGTAGTGACCAGATACTTTCAAATTGGATACTGGTGCATAGGTAAAACATTTTTATTATTTTCTATATTTGAAACATTAACTGATAATCACTTCCTTTACACAACATCAATAAATGTTTTTACATATACTGGTGATGCTGACATCCATTTGCTGTTGAATGTATCTTTATATGCTTCATAAATAATAATAGCCATCGTATAAAATTTAATATCATTTGTGCACCTGAAGTGTTTTAAATGGTAATGGACGGTCTTCTCAAGTGTTTGCCCGATATTTATCCATATTATGGCAGTATCGTAATACATTTTGAAACTATTAATTGGCTGTTGTAAAAAGTTAATAACGGTGTTTGTAATTGCCAGACAAAATGGGTTGAAATTTAACGAATAGAAACTTGAACTTGCAGTATCAAAATTTAAATATTAAGGTCACATAGTCTCATCTTATTGTTTCTGATGAGACCCAATTAATATAGAAGCAGTTTTGAAATTTTCACACCTGTTAATAAATAAGAATTGATGAGATTTCTTAGTATGGCAATATGCTTAATGAGATTTCTGCTTCAATTTTTACAAGAAAGTTTGAATAATTTATTGATAAAAAGAGATCAGCTGGTTTTAACTTATTTGTATGTTATAACTTAGGTGTTGTGTTGTTATGCTGACTGCTTGCATAAAATTGTAAATAAATTTTTTTTATTTTTCACTTGTGAATCTTTATTTTCAAGTTCAGCTATATAACTAACACAATACAGTTAAGTACATATACAACTAATATTATTGGTTCTACAGATTTAAGCAATAATTTTAAATTGCACATTGAATTATTTGCTAAGCAAACCTCTGATATACTAATTTATTTGAAACTTGCAAGACACATAGCATATTATAGACAAAATTTAGTGCATTTTTATACCATTTTCTTTTAAAGACAAATTACTGATTGGAAGAAAAATGAAATGATAAGTAATAGTTTGTATGCAGATAATTTGGGTTTTTTTCATAAATATTAGAAAAAAATATAAAGCAATATTAAATTATGAGGGAAAAGTCAGAAATTCCTTTTTTGAGTTAGTATGGCTGATTTTTAACTTTTTAAATGCTGCTGTGAAACCTACAAGGAAGTATAATTCATTAAAGTCAAGAAATAAGAAACAAAAAATTCTTAAATTTATGTCAAATTTTATTGTGTTAAATTTTGAAGTAATTAAATTATTCATTATATATAATTGAATCTCTGAATAAAATCCCACCCAAGTATCTATATCAAATAGTGAAATCAACGTTAAGTACGGCACTAGCGCGCAGCCTGTTTTGTTTCGTTGCTCTCTCGGGGTTTCGACATAGACGACTACGCGTGACGTCACAATCCAGTGTCCCGGCTTCCTTTATAAGGGGTGTGGCACCTAGAAAAATGAGGAACGAACATGCCTACGGAATTGGAACTTTACACAGTTTCATGAAATTAATGTTTAAAGAAAGAGAAAATTATTTATTTTTTGCTAAAAAAAGAAGGGATTAATGCAAGCCGAAGTATCAATCTTGTTTATATCCAGAAACCAGCACATTCAAAAGTGAACTACATAACCGTAGACAAATATGGATCACTTAATACTCAATTACACCGTCTACTTAGTACTACCTAGTATACCGTCTTCCTTATGTACTCGACTTCAGACGTATCACGTTCATAACTGCAATACCGGAAGTGTTATATGAGCTGGTATTAAGTCACTGTGAATGCGATAAAGAACATAGCACAGCAGTACGGTAGTTTCTATCTTTTCAAAATTACCGTTTAAAGTTCTAACTGCCTAATATTTAAACAAAGACATCATAAACAAAAACTCTCTGTAATTTAACAAAACCATTTGAAAGAAAAACAACCTTTTTATTCCCTATACATACATATATATATAATGAGCAGAAAATTATATAATTAAATTATTACTCAGGAAAATATCTGTACTTCTCTGAATAATAACTTAATTAAATTACAGATGATTTAGCTAAAATGGCTGAAACTTCTTCAAATATGTTTGCAGTGTCTCCTTCAATGTCCGTTCAAAATATCGCTTTCAAAAACGAACCCTATTGCAGAAAACATTTGCTTGCTAAAAGCGCCATTTCTCGCTAGTGATAGCAACATTATGATTATGTTGTGTGCTAGTATAGGTTAGGTTAGGTTATGTGATTGAAGCAAAACAACTCGAGGGCTACTACCTATGGGGAGATGTGCCTTCGTAGAAGACTTCTTAAAAGAAACTGGCTCTAGTCCATGTTAAACAGTAAAAAACCGCAAATCTCCCATGCAGCCAAGCGTTTCAGCGAAATTTCAATACAAGTCAAACTACCAGTGTTCGGCGACTTTATCGCTCGGCCCCTGGCGAAAATCTGTGGTATCACAGATGGATGTGGCCTAATGATTCAAATCGGAGAACAGTAATAATTTACACTCTCGGGTTCCTAGAGAGCGAAAGTGTTTCTTAAAAGGGGTTTCATTATTTTTCATTACGCGTAACTTAAGTATGAATCAGTTTCCATTTAAATGTGCTTCGAGAAAGCACTCACCTCCTTAGATAGATAGTCTTCGAATGTTTATCATAACTAAACCAGACGACGTTCGTTACCATGACCGATAGTTATAGCAATAATGCCTTTATAATGACCAGTATAAAATAATTTTCAACTGATGAGAATATTCTAAATCCAATTCGCTATAGGGATCAGTCATTAGAACGTTATTTTTCTGCTGGACCCAAGAGGTCAATATAATAATTGAATATTGCACTAAATTAACCTTTTTATATAATATTATGATTTCCATTTGATATGTTCCTAATCTGGCGTTAAACAAATCATTCATATCACATCTTTTACGAAATTACATTACTTATGTCCTTGATTGTACAAAGTGGGTGACATAGTGTTATTACCACTTCACTGATTTATACATGCATGCAAATAAAATCGCCTTGAAACAATTGTAAACAGCGGCACAAGAATTACATTTCGTCGCAATGATTGTAGTAACTGCAGTTGCGTAAATATTTTTTTTTTTTTTTTTTTTTTTTTTTTTTTTTTTTTTTTTTTACGTTTAGACTGTTATTCCCTAGACAGATTTGGATTCTTGAAAAAAGTATAATAAATATATATTAGATAATTGAATTTATACAGGACTCATTTTAAATCAGTGTCTCATATGAACAACAAATACGACGGTTGAGAATAAAATGCATGAAAGCTGCAATAAAACATGACTATATATTGGTGCATATACTTGTCTTAATTTTACTATTTGCAATTACTATTCTTTTGCTTTAAACAACATAAAATAGCTAAGAAACCATGAATCAGTTTCCAGACATACTCTGCAGTAAGGCTAGACAGCTGTAACTGCGTGTGACTTAACTTCTTCCTTAAAATAAATCATGCAAGGTTCAAAATACCTGACATTTTAGAGGAATTAATTCAATTTACTAACGGCGACGTCTATCATGGGAAAAACACAAAAATGAGTTCTACAAAAGTGTTACCGGTTAATGGTTCATAAAAAGTGCCTTTCTTTCAGTTTTTTTATGAGCCACTCTAATAACAAATGCTTATGCTAAATGGTAATTTTTCCTAGGGCTAAAAGCAAGTGATAAATTGCTATCTTTTGAGTTTTGGTAACTTTCCAAACATTTTGAGGTAAATGGTCAGCAAGCTACCGTTTCTGCTTAACAGAAAATACTTTAAAATAATAAAAATATGACACCCATTCTAATTTTCGGTCGTACTTAATTATACGTATATCAAAAACTGTATCATAGCGCCAAACAAAAATACGGCTACAGATATGTGAATAATACATATCGCTAGAAAGTCTCTTATTGATGATATTATAACATAATCTACAAGGGTAACAATCCATAAGTATAGCATAATCTAATAGTATAAACAATTTTTATTTCAACAGTTTTGAATAAAATCGTGTTAACAGTTTACCCCAAGCAAGCTTACGCTACATGGAGTGGCAATATCCGCAAATTGTCAGAAATAACAGCATAGTCAATAATAACTTCTGAAAACCTAGAAGAAAAAGCAATCTACCAGATTTTAAGTAGTCAGTCGTCGTCACGATGGTTAGCCTTTTATACAAAAATATTACACATACTGTCATTTCAAAGTATGGCTTGTTGCATGACAATTTCTTAATTTCATTTCTTTCCACCAAGGACCTGGATGACAGAACATAGATTACACGATAAATACAAATTTTCTTTTGCGTTTCGATCAAATTCATAAACTTACATAAAGATAAGTAAGAACAGAAGCACGTGAACGTTATCACTATTTCATCAAAACTCTACAATATACACAGTGCAGAAAAAGAAAAAAAAAGGGGGGAGGGGGACAGTTTTATATCTCTCGTTCTACCGGGCCGATTGACAAAATGCAAATTGCGTTTTTCATGCCTCGAAAGCGCGACTTAGGATATATATTAGATTTATATATAACATTGTTCTAACCCAGGTATTTTGAAACAAAATCGAACTTTGAAATAACATACCAATGTTTTTTCCATATTTCGATTCTACGACTCAAATTATGCCTAGGTATTAAATTTTGTATAATTTGGTGCGACATTTACGCAGAAATTAAAAACTTTATGTTGGCGCAATGTTTTCAGTTTGCGCCAAGAATAATTAATTCACTTGGCGCACTTCGTAATATATATAGCAACTAATTTTCCTTTCCCTTCCATTATGCCAGAGCGGAAAAAAAGGCACTTTGTTACTACCTTTTTACATTGTGCATGTGAGCGGGGAAAAGTTTAATACAAAAAAAGAGATTAGTAAATATATACCAAATTCAATTAACATTAAGGAGCTAAAATTTTGATAGCTAATCTTTTAAAAACTACACGTGCGATTTTTTTACAAAACTTAGCAGTTTGGCTTAATTTGAATTGTAGAATGGAAATATGGAAAACAGAATGGTATGTTATTTCAGAAAAGTCCGATTTCGTGTCAAAATACTTATATTAGAACAAATCTAATACATATCCTAAGTCTCTTTCCCGAGAGATGAAAAACGCAAGTGAATTTTGTCAATCGGTCCAGTAAAACGAGAGATATAAAACTGTTTTTTTTTTTTTCTTTTTTTCCCCTCCGTGTACATGCAAAAGCCTAGTATCTAACTCTCTGGAAATAAGTTAAAAAGAACAATAATGATATCTAAAATTTTCTACATAACTCATGAATCATTTCGATTTCCGAAGTCTGTCGGGGCCTAAGAGAAAATCACGAAGTCCTACCCGTCAATCTCATAAACAGTAAAATCCTTTTTGTTTTTTCTTTTTTTATCGTTACTACTGATTCTTTTAATGTTATTTTAATTTTACTTTTATTTTGCAAAAACTTTATTTAGTTAATAATTATACGAATGCTACAGAAAACGAATTAACATTCTGTGGCACGCAAAGAGAAAACATTTATTTTCTGCATAGCGTTCATTGTATTACATCAGCCATGCAATGTATCTTTTCATGGACATGCAGAAAAATGTATCACAAAAATACACAAATGTAATATTTTCAATGCTTAAATTTGGGCACATTATACGAGAAGGTACCATCAAAATTATCTACCAAGAGCTGCTCTTTTTCAACACACACTGAATCTGCGTGGTGTGGTGTCAGATTCAGCGAAAAAGACGAAGGTGTTCATGAATGCTATTGAAGTCTGCATTTTCTTTGAAATTTAAAGAAACTGTGTCACATTTTGCGGTTTAAAAGTAATTTTAAGAAACATTTCCTTGCAAAATAAAATGGCATAACAGGAATTGATACCAACGTTAAAATCCCAAATGCTTCAAACAGTGAATCCAAAGATATTGGAATTAAAAGGATGAGTAACACTCCTTAAATTACACCAGAAGGAAAGCAGCATGCAGAGAAATTCACATTCTACAGAGATTACTTACTAAGTTCAAGCATCATTCTGAGCTGTAAGCTAAAGCCTTGCATATGAACTGGAATTAAGACATTCATTATAGCTGAGATTCGATAACTCAATTTTCCATAATTTGAAATTTTCGGCAATTCATATTGCATGTTTGTATATGAAATGATCCAGAGAAATACAAAGAAAATAAGCATTACCTTGTTTCGATAATTTGTATTTCTTCAAATCATTAAATCGAAATATTTGTAAAGTTGAATTTTGTTTAAAAGTCCTTAAAAATGCTTCTTTCTCGATATCTGTCCGATATTATATTAAAAGCATAAAGGTAATAGCCTAAACTTCCATTATGGAAATTTTAAATGTAAATTAGTATTTCTCAAATTGAATTTATCCTTAGCAACTGTACTCTTGCTGTTGTGAGTATTTGAAAAAAGTAGCAATTTTAATTTATTTTAAAAGGATAAGCGAAATTTTTACTGGCAATTAAGGTAGTAAATACCCCGTACATTGTTTTACATTCTACACTTTTATTTTACCTTTAAAACATTCGATATATATCTCTTACGGAGAAACCTCCTGAAAGCAACCAATTTTTAAATTTACTTTCTGAGAACATACTTAAATAAAGGTCCATAAATGAATAAAACATCTGAAACAATAGTTGGTCATCTTGTGGAGACGCCGGGACTCGAACCCTGAATCTCTCGAATACGCGTCGGGTATGCTTCCCATTACACCACGAAGGGAAAAAATACCTTATGTACTCCCCCTTTTCAAAGGCGACTGGGGATTAGGAAATCCTGTCACCAAGTTCTGGTGGCGACGAATTATCGCCCACCACCCTTTTAGTTCGGGCGCCACTTGTAGAGTCATTAGACTTTTTTTAAGATGAAGACGTCCAAAATGTGCTTGTGCCTTCGCCGGTATTCCAACTCAAGACTTCGCAAACACACGTCAAGTGTGCCTGCAGTTACACCACGAAGGCATGCGGAAAGAAAGGAGAAAATATCTTACAGACTTAGGGCCGTTTTACTGCATTTTTTTAATAAATGAAAGATGATATTTTAAAGCATTTTTCTTGTTACACTATATGCAGCCTTGTTTTCAGAAACTATTACTGTTATTGAAGAAAATAGTCTTACTACATGCATAGGAAACCTTTAATTAACTTTCATCAATGCTTTCAGACAGTCGTCCAGGCGGGATAGTGGTTAGTGACTCTAACTGCCGTACTGAAGGACCCGGCTCGAATTCCGGAAAAGGTATGTATATTTGTAAATGTTATAGTGTCTTTTCGGCATGTGGCCATTTTAAACACACGGAAAGCCGAAAGTCCTCTCGTGCGGTTTGGTGGTAGTGAAGAAAGGACGGATCTGTCAGGACGGATCTCTCAAAACTGGGGCGGAATTAGGAAGTCCAACCTCCTTGACGCTCCGGCAACCATTGTTCCATAAATTGGACACGACATCAATCAAATAACAAATAACGACTTTAAGATGGATCAATTTAAGCAGCTGAGTTCTCAGTTAAGAGCCATATGATTTCAAACCATTATACGCAGCATTTCTTGATGCAAGTAATGATTAGTAATTTATATTTCTTGAAACATTTTTATATACCGACATAACTGCTATGATTGATGTATGAAATAAGTTCAATGTTGCTTTGTATATACATTTGTATGGATTTTTACATATAAACCCTGTTTTCCCACTAAAGTTTAAGACGATTTAAGTCCTTCTAGTTAAACCGGTATCCATTCGGAAAAGTCTATGAAGAACAATGCGAATAGGATAAATTCATCTGTTATTAGACATAAACCTGACAGTACAGGTCTAGACCGGATGGAGTTTGGTCTTCTGTTGAAACAACGTGCGTTCTGAACACCTAACAGTTTGTTGAGCAAAACTGTGTCCATCATATAAATCAAAATATTCATAATTTTGATCGATTTTTTTCCAGCGTTAGCGTTTGTTAATTGAAGGTTTCGTATTCTTTTTCAATCAACCAATTAATCAATCACACAAGACGTTTCATCTGACAATTTTTATGGACGTAATGCTTGATGAATGTCGTAGCCTTCATTCCGAAAACAGCCAAAATAAAATTTTAAAAAATAAAATTTTCGTATTTTCATTAGTCCTAGTATGTGTAACATTACCTATATGCGAATGATCATCCTTTAATACAGCTTATGCGAATTAAAGCTCTAAGTTAAGTGTAGGGAAACATTCGTGACTGAGCGAAAAATGGCAAAAAAATTTCTTTAACCATTTCAATTTAAAATGACAAAGAACGGAAAAGGATATAAATTCGTGATCACGTGATTCGCAAGTATTAATTCGATAATAAATCTTAACCGAATAAGACATGGTAACGGAGGTCCAGCCTTATACCCGCCTCTTCCCACCCCCCGCCGAATTCAGAAAAATTTTCTAAACTGAAAGTAAAGGTTTCTATCATTGCAGATGCCAACGCAGATTTTTCACATTCACGTCAGATCAGGTGTATTTTTTTTCATTGGCTTTATGCCACATACCTCTGCTGCCAACAGAAAGTAGTACAAAAAGATATTTCAAGATTTTTGACTGGAATGTTAATCCTTCCATGACATTTTGACATTTTCATTTCCATTTAAGACTAGAATAATATAATCAGAGCTCCACGTGTCACCATTGCATAAAAATACAGCTTGAACTGATTCCAGGTTTTAAATGTTAAGCTTGTGATATAATCAACTACCGTAGAAAAACTTGGAAAATATGGACACGAGAACTTAAATTTTTCCTTTGCACAAAATTATATAAACAAATTTATTCTTGATAAAAGACTCTCACACTTCTTGACTTTCACAAAGTACAAAGGAAATACTGTTCTTCAAATTATTTACTTCTGCATGCAAGCTAGTTCAGATACATTGACCGCGGCTTACTTTAAATTGTTCCCACTAGATCCATACTTCCAACAGAAGAATTTTTAGCCCAAACGGGCGTTACAGTAGAAGGGCTTTTAGTCTCGAAACGGTATTTTGCGTCGAATCATTAAAAGCGTTGAATCATTTTTAAAATTGTTGCCACCAAATAGTATCGCCTGTATTATATTTTAAGAAATTTTGAATAATGTAGTCCTCCATACGAACATGGGCACCTTCCAAATTTTGTAAAACTTTAATGAATTTTTTTATTAAAATACTCAACGTTTCGAAGACGAGCAGTGGCAACACTGCACGAAATAAAACATTTTCATTTCCAGTGAACGAGACTGTTTATCCG